CATGCGCGATAGCAATCATCAAAAACTAGACGAGGATGATTTTGCCGAGCTGTTGGGGTGCGTTGCGAGAATTTCGTAAAAGCCACGTTTATTAAGTGGATGGATAAACCCCGTCCAACCTGTTGCCTGCTATTTGATGTAATCTCTCTTTAATCCTTGATTCTCCACGTCAGAAGCAAGATAGTTCCCGAGAACGCAAAGCTAGCTCCAGAACGAGTGTACAAAGAGAACCGTGCCAATTGGAACGCGAATTATTTGTCAGAGAATCCAAGGCAAAGCAACGGGAACTGGGTATTACCAGCGTGGAATGAGCCAGCTACTATTAATTGGAGCCAGCCTCAGCAGAACCAGAAGAATGGTCGTAAGGTTTCAGCGAAACAACACTACTTCAGCGTGGCACGTTACGTAGCTGGCCAGAGTGCAAGCTTATCGTCCAGGTATCGAACGTTCCCGATACTTCTAAAGCGTATCCTGACCCTTTGCTCGCTGCTAATACTGGGATGCACGTTGCTGTGTTGTCTGATCTGGGAGAACGAGCTTCGCGAACATATCACGTGCCCGGATCTGATAGAATATTTATTTTGAGACAATCTGCCTATCGAATTTTTACCTGACTGAATTTCAATAATTGATATGCCAAGATTCCAGGTTTCCCTTATTTCTTTTTCTCTTTTTATATTGTACCATATCTCGTCTTTTACTTGTAAATCCAAAGTGTTCAATAAAAAAGAAGAAAAAAATTGAAAGTTTTTCAGACTCAATTTTTCATCGTGGTGTTTTCTGATGATTTTTAATATCTCGTTTTTCTCTCTCTCTCTGTCTCTCTGTTCGGTTCTCCTGAAGAAACGGTGACCCAGACCCAAACAGACCCAGATTAATGCGAAACCTGGTTGCTCAACCGATGGAGAAGTACGAGGAATTCACAGACTCCTTCTGGGTGCCTAGGAATTCGATCGAGACACAGACGAAGCAGTATTACCTTCCACGTAATCGTTACATCGCTGATCAAACACTAAGGTTGCCTTATCCGAGCGTTTACGGTATGCAGAGTATCAGTGAGTAGTACTTAGAATCCGACGTTTAGAGGCATTCTTGAATTATTTCGATATTTATTGTTAATGATTGAACAGAAACGGCGAACAAAGGAGCGCTCCAAGCAAATACATATGGAACTGTGGTGAACGCGAAGGGCAGCGGAAGTCTTCATGGTAGAACCGACTGGGCCGCCAAATATCTCAAATGACTGCTCGAGAGTTATACATACACTTAAATTAGAATATTCAATTTATTTAATCTGTGATAGAATGATGTCTGCTATTTCATTCCATGTAAAAAGAAACAACAGGTGTAAGGATTACGAGGGGAAACGAAAAAACGAAACTGGTGGCATTTTGAGAATGTAATCACTTCGTCCATTAATTATTTTTCAACTTGCGAAAAGTGATCACATTCTTGAAACGTCCCTAATGAGGCATGTCTTAGTTTATTAATCGACAGAAAAAGATTTCTATTCCTTAAATTTGTTAACAAGTTAACAGTATTCGATGTAATACTTGTTATATAGAATTCAGTACATTAACATTTCCCTTCTTTTTTTCTTTATTATAAAAAGAAAAAGAAAAAGAAAAACTGATCATTTACTGGATGTAAAGCAAAACTGTTCGTAGAAGGCAGTATCGACTAACGATAGTGGTTAAGAGTGTAATCGACTAACTTACGATGTGGAGTAATCTCTGATACACAAAAGACTAATGTAAAAATCGATCACACTCACCTTTCTCTCTGTATGATTAACAGTACTCTTACAATAAGTACGCGTCATAAGTCTCGTTCAGAGAATTACTCCATGTCGCGTCTGACACAATAGTTGTAGGGAGTTAGGACATTATCAATGAAAAATATGATACAAAACAAAAAGTAACTCTTCGTACGTTTCTACACACAATCGTTTTAAGAAGCATTCTTTAATACTGTACACTCATAACCATATATAACCCTCATTCATCTCATAATTCTATTACGACACTTTTAGGTTGTCCTCGTATAAACGTCTTCTAATTATGGCTCGATCCATCGAATTTATCGATCTTTCCTCTTGTTCGACATATCACGGAAACTTATTCAAGTATACGATACGTAATTCGAAAATTAATAAAAAAAATATACCGCTATCGCGCAACAAACCACTAAAATATCTGTTTCTTTCTTCATTTTTTTTTCACCTATGATCGTAGAATTTGATCGATAATTGAATATCTCGTAAAAAAATATCTCGAGAAAGGAACGTGTCGCGAAAAGATCCGTTTAAAAAATAATACTCCGCTCGCAGGAATTTTTGTACAAATATCATTATCTTTTTTTCTCCCTTTTCCTAAATTCTTCTGTGGAATTTCTTAACCTTACCCCCACCCCACCCGAAAATCACGAAACTTCCCCCTTCCCTCATACAACGACGATATGTGAAAAGTAAGATAGATCTCTAGTGAAGATTTATCTATTTTCCCTCCATCTCTTAATAACCGCTTGTTTTCGCATTTTTTTTTCTTTTTTTTTTCTTATAAAGGTATCGACATTTTGTGCATCCTAGAAGTATTGTATAAAACAAATCACCGTACAAGGGAAACTGTGATACAATCGATGATACGATCGAGAATTGATATGATTAATTTTTACGATATCTGGAAGTTGCGCGTGTACGTATGTATATGTATTATGTATAGGCAAAAAATCTATATGGCAATTCTTCGTGTTTTTTGTCTGAATGTTTTTTTTTTTGCGTGTTTACATGTGTACGCGCACACGCGCGTGTGTGTGTGTGTGCGCGCGCGCGCGCTTCGTCTAAATGATTCTCTAGTAGGTATTACTTTGAATATACGAAATACATCTGTTAAGCTGTTTGGATGGGTGGTACATTTGGTGAATATTATGCATATACATTTATCCATTAAGACGTAATCATTTTTTTTTTCTTCTCTATCGCGAAGTAATCCATCATTGGAGTATATCGTTCGTAAAAATGCTTCCGAGCTTAATTCGTCGATTAAGTCCATTTTAATTCACGAGCTTGGATGAGCTTCATTTTATGTGATTTAATTTAAAAAATTAAACAATAGAGACAGAGAGAGAGAGAGAGAGAGAGAGACAAAGAAAGAGAGAGAGAGAGAGAGAGAGAGAAATGTGTAGTAAAGAATCTACCCTTTTTTTTGGTTAATTATACGTTTACAATCTTCTATGTCTCGTGAGATGTATAGAAGAATCTCAGAGGATTACACGCATCTATCCTGGGTGATAATAACTTTCCCACGAAAAACAAGCTCACCTAACTTTCCCGCCAAAAAAAAGAAAAAAAACCTGTCAGCGACGAGCGTAACTAAAAAAAAAAAAAGAGAGAGAGAGAGAGAGAGAGAGAGAGAGAGAGAGAGAGAGAGAGAGAGAGAGACAAAGAAAGAGAGAGAGAGAAGAGAGAGAGAGAAATGTGTAGTAAAGAATCTACCCTTTTTTTTGGTTAATTATACGTTTACAATCTTCTATATCTCGTGAGATGTATAGAAGAATCTCAGAGGATTACACGCATCTATCCTGGGTTTGTAAATGCTCGACGCTATAAAGATCGAAGATTTCATTATAGATCTGTTCCACGTAACAATGTGGATATGTTTTTGTAGATAAAAACTACGCGCTTGAAAGAAATATCATAAACTTGCTTTCGTCTTATTCCTCCTTTTTTGTTCTCGTTTTAACGGAAGTACGTTTTGTAAGTGCTTATCTTACATTTACAAATATTAACTATTCACGCAGGACATGAAGTAACAATTTCTTACAGAATATACTTGCACGATAACTGGATCGCGTTTAAATTTAATACATCTTAACCATCGATCTCTAACAAGTGCAATGTGCAGACCTACCAGGAAGGACTCTGTTCACTGTTTCAAATTTCGTGCCATCTATCTATAGTCGTTCCGGACAATTCTAGGATCCAACTTAAAGGCTAACAACGTTCAATTCAAAATGTAAAGTGTTCACCGAGGGAGTGGACGTTTAATCCTTAAATGATACGAACTATCTCGTATCGAATGCAATTATTTTTTTAACGTCACATTTTTCGTTTCTTTCGTATTTCCTTTGTTTTTAACCTAGGCAGAAACCCTAGGAAGTATTCATTTCTTATGAGGTTAAAAGGTAGTCTGAACGGACAACGAAACGCTGCTGCTTTAACGCATTTAGGATTGTCTCTGCCATGTCGTACTGTCGTCATATTATTTAAGGATTAAGAAAAATCGTTTAGTCGCCTCCTCGTGTACAACAGATATCGTATATACGTATAACTATACATCTGAAAACATCCGTCTCTCGCGTTCAACGATAAAATTCGACAAGCAATCGACTATTGAAATTATCGACAATGGTATATGAAAGGCACAATATCTTTTAAGAGAACGTAAATAACAACAAGTGTGAAATCTAAAAGTGTCTAGAACAAATTTTTAACGAAATATTCCTACAGGAGTTGAAATATTCAACTTAATGAAAACCCTTTAAGTCAAGTTTACGCGATATTGCTCCGTTTCTGTTTCTTATTGACTCCCGTTTTTATCTCGTTAAAAATATACTTTGCTCGTCGATCACCTTATCACGAATTCAAACGAAATAATCACTATAATTCACGGAATCGTAAGATTCGGCGAATGGCAACGGTTGTGTGTGTGTTGAATCTGATGATGCTTTGCGATTCTAACTAAATATCAATCGACATTAAGTTTACGAACATTATCCAAACTTATTCGTATTCTACATAAAGAAGCTGCAACGATTAAACGAATAAATAATTAACAAACAATTAAGAAGTACAATTCTTACGTATAACAGATGAGAATTTCAATAAGTTTATTCGTTATAAAGTACCAGATTCAACACATCACACAAACGTACGTATCCTAGTGTTGTAAAATCGCGTTGTTCACCGAGGTGGTTACGTTAACGAACATTTTCGGGGACATGGTCGTAGACGCCTCCATAATACCAGTGGATAATGTACTAATAGTAGTATTAGACATCAGGGTGGATGTCAGAAGAGTTGACAAAACAGTGGCGGTGGTTTTTACCTTAGGCGTGGCATTCTCTAACGTGGGTAAAGTGGAAGACACGACGTTCGCCAAAATGCTTGGCGTTGTATTGTTAGATAACATTGTAGATGGTTTTACTGCTTTGTAACACACGTCTTTCGCTTGAACTTGTAACTCGAAGCATCTATCCATCACGTATGCCAATAAGGAGCCAGCAGTTAATCCTGTGATATATGATAAGGTCATAATATTACCTGCAACAAATATAACAATATTATAAATAAAATTAGTCATTAAAGAAAATTATTAATACAAAGGCAGCTTGATATCTTAGTTTTTTTTTCTAAATAAGCCAAATTACAAAGCTGCCTTTCTAATGAAAGTAGAAGCACAGACGGCACCTGCCAATTCACGATGTGCCGAAGGAACTACAAGAGGTGCCTGCATCATTGGTACCGAACCAACAATGCCGTTTGTAACGCCGAGTATGCAAGAAAGTAGTAACGCGTATCTTTCACCAGAAAGAATTGGATCACCTCTTGGTAGAGCGCAGAGTAAGAATAAAGGGATCAATATAATTCGGGCGCACGGAAAATACAACAATTGATTGCGTTTCCAATCATATGGGATCAGTGCTAGTACCTGAAACATTAAACAATAAAAAAGAAGTTAATAAATTAAAAATAAAGTACAACTTTAAAAAAGACTACTAAAACTACTTATACCTTGCCCAATACATCAGAAGCATTAAATGCTGTCATTAAAAGCACTGGCATCCACGAGCCAAGTTTACAGGAGATTATTTCTGACATAATTCCAGGGTACAGGCAAAGCGTTACGAAATATGCTATACCAATGCTGGCCATGTATGGGAATATTCTCTTTGCCACTTCAAGTCTTGCAATGAAACCCTCTTAAAAAATTGCGCTTATGTTTTTGATGGTTTTTTAAGGAAAATTTTTAATTTTTAAGAATAAATAAAAAATTTTAGTAAAAAGTGTAAGTACTTTTAATCTCTGGCCATGTTTTGCTAGACTGAGCTCCATATGCGCCCCTCATAACGACCACATCTTCGACTTTGTACGTAGGACCAGCACTGCCGGGAGGATTTCCTGATGGTGCTCCAGGCTCATATACGGGATTACTAAACGAGAATGCTGAATATTGATTTGTCCCTGAAAATAATAATTATCAATTTTACCCCACTGAAATGAATACTGTCATACGAATTATTAGAACGATTTGCAATTTACCATTTATCTCTGTATTTGCACTTGCGGATTCGGTTCCTAAGGGGCTAGTCTGTATCTTTAGGACTCCATACTGACCTTTCGAAGGATCTCCGACTTGATCCAATGGATCCATCTGTTCGAACGCAATAATTAATATAATTTTCATTTACAATTTTGTGTTGAGGGAATATATACACCTAGTGAAGAGCATAAATCGCTGCTTTGCGTTGACAGTGGTATAACTCAAATCATGTACATTTTACAGAAAGAGAAGTTTAAAATTTGCATTTGACTAATAGTTAAAACTAATGTAATTAAAATGTGCCATTTTGCATGATAAAAATACTGTACCTATGGAATCTATTTGTACAAAAAAAATCAAAATTCACATTTTTTGAGTTATTCCAACACCACTACCACGCAATGAAGTGTACACTTATTTCTGTGATTTTCTTATGACAAGTGTAAATATATTTTTAACAATCTTATAAATTTCATTAAAAAACATTGACAAATAACGATGCAGCTATTTTTATAAGTCTAGATGTACATAGCCCCTTAATGATGATTGTCGCGTACCAGACCAACATCCTCTGTTGGTTCCAAAGTGATTCGGTTTCTTTTCTGACATAGCGTTATATAGAACTGTACGAATTCGGTCTTGCGGACCATTTGGTGCAGTATGAAGCACTTTAAGATCAAGACAGTCGATAAAACGAAGAACATGGATGTGTTGCCACGTTCGTCGTCCATCATAGATTTGGTTAATATTCGATTGATTGAGACGAAAAGACCAGCGATGCCTATAGTGAAAAGAATGCACATTTTATGAATATTTAATTAACATTATAATTCAGACAAAAATGATCGTTTGTCGATATTTATTACTCACTTTCCCCAGTCATCACTGCCTGCGTGTACCGACTGGGCAGCATGGACGTGTATCCATAAATGCTCGATTGTTGAACTAGTCGACCAAATTACAAATTTTAATATAAATTATGAATCGTCAAGTACTGAAATGATAGAAAATATTTTTTTACCGGTGCATCCAAGTGATACTACTGCAACGGCAACCAGATTGATTGTGTACGAAGTGGCCACGTTAAATAGTTCCCACCAGATCTCACAGACCACGACACAATTTAAAGTGACGAACGCTACCAGATATCCTACAATTTACGTTAACGTGTCGAACAATGGTATTTTATTATCGAATCGATATTTCTAACTATTTTTCATTCTTTTCTTCTCTTTTTTGTTTTACCGAATGTTATCCGTGTATTCAAAGATATTGTCTCGACCAGAATGTTATTCACAAAGACCGCCAAAAACGCTATGGCAATGTAGACAACTGACATATCGAATACCACGGTGGTTCCGGGATATCTCGCTTGAAAATAATCCACTGCTATAATGAAACTGCAAGGAACGAATATATACATATATTGTAGCATATGTTTCTTGATAATTTATAATTTCTTGTTTGATGCAACATTTTTCATCGATAATAGAACATCAGGAATGCGATAATAATTTGAAATGACAACCTCTGAGATCGTCGGCGATTTTTACGAAATTTTCGTACGAATTCATCACTGGAAAATATTACAAAACGTGAAATAGGAATAGTACTTATGTGTAATATAAACGTGTATTCCACGTTTAATTCTATTTCCAAGGGAAAGAACGTAATATTTCAGGCACAGAGATGTTTGACACGGAGAAAGATAATGTTTTATTGCAGCGTGACCTGTTATAGGGTAGAAGGAATCCTATGCCGCCTAATATCAGAGCGATGTAGACGAAGCCGTTTTTGTCCACCGGCGGTGAAAAAAGCGTGGACTTGAACTCGTTCATCCCTCTTGCTTTACCTAACTGCACGTAGCCCCGGCTCAAATTTTCATCCATGTTTGCCGTGGCGGAGGCGTTTTTTTTTGCTTAGCTCGAAGAAAATGAACGGTCTGGTCGTTCAGACCGTTTTACACAATTCCGTTTTTCCGGAAGGGATTTCTTTTCCCGAAAACTGGATCGATTCCACCGTACTATGCACTTTCTGCCGATCGGTTAATCGCACCTGATCACTGACTTATTTGTTTCCTTACGCGTAGTTCGTAGATGCAATTGTCGCGCGGCGGCCGCGCATGCTTTGAAAATTTGCGGCATTGATTTCTGCGCGCGCATTCGGGCATTACTTCGTTGTTTCCCCCCCGCGAAGTTTGAACGGAAAGGGAGAATATTCGTAAAATGAATTGCATGCATTTTTGTTTTTCATTAGGTTTCAATATGGAGTATATTTACCTGTATACCAGAATGAAATGTCGAATTTTATTTCGCGTTACTGTGTATAACATCATTTAAAAACAGATTCATATGCTACTTGTAATTACCGCATTTCGAAAATTAACGTAAAATTAACGAAAATTAAGGTTTGAAAAAATTGTTTTTGTCATGACGATAGTGTATCAATTTTTTAATGTCTTATTATTTGTATAGATTTTAATATGTTTAAATTTTGAAATTGTTTAATAAAATGCATTTAATAAATGGTTAAAAATGTTAATCAAATACGTAATTGCGTATTCGTACGTAATATTTTAGTATATGCTAGATGGTATTACATGTACTATATCGTTGAATACACTGTATCTAGATAAATGCGCGTGCGCACTGCGTCATACTTATCACTTATGAATCAGCTGATAAAAGAGGATTGTTGCTGGAAGTTTCAACAGTATCGGAAGAAAAGTTAAACAAGTTAAAAAAGTATGTCGTTAAACACAGCGCACGCAAATGGCGGTGTTCTTATACACGCCGGAGAATGGTAAGTTGTACAATGCATTTCTGAATTGTAAGAATGTCATCGTTGTTTCACATGTTCTCACTTATGACGTTTCTGCAACGTAGTTACCTTCGTGGCCTTCCGAATACAATTTCCCTGTTATGATCAATAATCTTTTCTCTGATTAATGTTACCATATATAAAATATATTAAATATTTGTGTTTTTAAAATAATTATAACAACCAATAAGATAATTATATGCTGCATTTTTTCTGTCTGACATAACCAGCATAATATAAACAAATAAAATGTTTATTTCTTTAGCATATTACTATTTTGTGACAATGTCACAATGGAATTCCATGGACAAGATCAACCAGAGTTTGCTGGTACCAAACGTGGCAGATTGTATCTAACTACACATAGAATGATCTTTAATGCTAAAGATGCAACAGAAAAGATGCAATCGTTTAGCTTTCCATTTGTAACACTAGGCCAGGTTGAGATTGAACAGCCAATCCTTAGTGCCAATTATATCAAAAGCAAATGTCGTGCTCAACCAAATGGTAATTGGATTGGAGAATGTAAATTTAAATTGCATTTCAAAAGTGGTGGTGCAATAGAGTTTGGACAAGCTATGTTAAGAGCAGCAGCAATGGGTAAGTTCATTGTAACTAGCTGTACTTACAGACTTTAATCATTTTTGTATCAAGGAAACACTTTAAAGAGATTTTATCATTAAATTTATAATTATTTTTCACATAAAAATACCTATACTTGTTTATAGCTCAGCGTAATGGACCTGCAAATGATGCCCCACCACCATATCAACCACCAATGTCAAATTGGTATGCTGCACCACCACCTGCTTACCAAGCGGCACCAACTGGATATTATGGTTGGGTACCACCAACTAATGTATTTCCAGATATGCCACCAGGTTCAATGCCTATTTTTTTTTTATGATTTGTTTAATATTACATTAACTTCATTATTAGTTTCTTCATATTTGTCATACCTTGATTTTTTAATATTTCTTACATGTAAGGAATATAAATTTATATTTATACAGCAAACAGTGTATATATGACGGACATGCCACCTCCATATCCTGGTATAAATGCACCCTATCAAGGGTATGCAAGTGTACCACCACAAGGTGCATGGGGCGGTTCCCAACAACCTGGCTGGACACCACCACAACAAAATGGAGCACCTGGATGGGCTAATCCAAGTTATAATGCCCAACCAATGTCTCAAGCAGGTGCGTATCCAAACTATGGACAATCAGCTTATAATAGTTATCCACAGAATCCTCCATCATATACCCCGTATCCTCAAGGTAACAGCTATGCACAACCTGGCTATTATCCACAACAAAATCCTTATCAGCCTTATCCACCAAGTTACTAGTAAAATATATGAAACCACATGTTTTGTGCATGCCTGTTTATATCATATCTTATATGAATAATGATAATACATTGTACTATTCTTTATAATACTCGTATAATACAAAAATCGCATAATGTAACATACGCACTACAATGAGTATTGAATTATTTTTAAATACTTTTTTTTATCAATTGTTATATATTAAAGTATTATACTTTCATTGCCTCAATCGTATTATTGCTTTGTGATAATTATTATAATACAAAAACATATTATATCATTAAAATGTAGTCAAATATAATTTGCTGTTTTTTATTTAAACCCACCAATTTGAAATATCACTTTATTATAAAAATCATACAAATCTTTACCATGAAAAGAGCTGAATAATGATACCATATTTTCTATTCCATCTGGTAAACTTGAAAGTTTTGAATATTATACAATATTATTGCATAATAGATATGGTTGACCTGAAGTAAGGTTGACTTTCACTATGCTCAGTTATTATCTCATAGTTGTCAGAGATAGTTCAAAAATACGTGGTGTTAATACTTGTTCTTAGTCTATTTTATTTCGTTCATTAATTTGTGCAAATTATAAAAAAAAGTATATCGAATTATTAATTTTTTATTTTTTCCGTTAAAAAAGCATTAAAAATATTGAAATTTTGAGTGTAATCTATGACTCATTCAAACAAAGTTGTCTACTACAAAATACCACCGTTTCAATATTGTTTGAGGAATTTTTTACATTTGCTTAATTGTTTGGAGCAAATATTCCAAAATTTGCACTAAATTATTAAATTGATTTACTTTATAATACCACTGTCATAATCAGGATTGTCAATGCAACTGTAAGATAAATGAAATTAACTTAAGAATACTAAATTATAAAGAATTTATCTGATTAATTTAAGTATTTTCTAATCAAAATAAGAAATGCCAGATCACTTTAAATTTACAGTATCAAAGATATATAAATGTATGTATCCTATTAGTGTGTCCTTCTTATAAGTTGGAAATATATTTGCAACTAAAAATTTCGTATTTTTATTTTATTAGCATTTTATTTCTTATGTATTTTACAGATGCAAAAGCAGCAGAAGCTGCTCAAAGTGCATACTATGATCCAAGCAGACCACAATGTGCCTATGTTCCACCTCCTGCATACTATGTAAGTAAAAAATTTTATTAAATAATTAAAAAACATCCAAGAATTAAGAATAAATAGTTTAAAAGTTAATAATAAATTATTATTTGTATGTATATTAGGAAAGTCCACCAAGCTTTCAACAAGCCACAGAGAAAAAGGACCAGTAAAAATGGATCCTTGAAGTCTGAAAGTGGTGATATAACATCAGCACTGTTGTTGTCCAATTAGTATTATATGTATAATATGCTGTACTGCATAGCAACAGGTATATGCATTCCATTTTAGGTTTTGCTATATTGTCGTTTTGGTGTGTGTGTAATTAAACGAAACAATATTTCTATCTTTCCTATGCTATTCACAATTTCAAATATTACTATATATTGTACTGTTACGCTTCAAAGTACACAAATATTTATACGTATTATGTAGACTGTATAAATGATCTATAAAAAAATTCTATTGTTGTGTTTTATGCAATTAAATGAATGTATAAAATAAAAGTTGCTGCATATGAGTATGGAAAAAAAGAACACATACTGAAAGGCATTGTCTATATTCATATATTTTATTAAAAACTATAGCAAGAATATAATGTTTGTACATGTACATACATATATAATTCAATATAAAATAAATAATAATTGACCACGCCAAGTAAAATTTATATATTAAATTTAATGTAAAACATATTTAACTGTATCTATTGCTTCTGTATTGGAAGTAAGATATTTTGTGATGGCTTGTATCACGCGTATTTAAATGAATGTATATGTATAAAAATTCAAATATATGAATATAAAAATAATTTTCAAGTACATAATAATCAGTTATAATAATGCACAAATCACTTTGTTTGTGCTCATAGTGCCACAAAAATTCGTTCCTTTTTATTTCGACTAGTTTTTAATTATGGCAAAAACGATACATATAATAATTCATATATATCCAAAAAATTGTATACAACTTGATAACTTATAACAACTGGAGTAAATAAGCAATCTGAAATATTGCAAAATTTAGTCTCATACACTGTAATCTATGTATTAGTAAATATATAATTTTCTCTAAAAATGGCACCTACAAGTATTGTATTAGATAAGAATTTCTTACATACATAATTTAATGCCGCTCTTTAACAGCATGTCTCATAATATTAAAGTTTTTGTGCTTATAAAAACTTTACAAATATTTCATTAGGTATTACTATAATATAATAATTTAATAAGGCAAGACATTTTAAACCTCCCAATTCCACGACATAAAAATTCTTAACTTCATAGAATGCTATCTATGTAGTTTGCAAAATTGTATAAATACAATCTTGTTACATGTAAAAGTCTATCCATACTCTGAGGTGACTGTCAAGCTAAAGTTTCCATCTCTAACATAAGTGCCATGATACCAAATTCTTGTATCTAAAAGGACAATGTCTCCAGCATAAACAGTAAAATTAAAACGTGTACAAACATTATCACATTCTGGAGTTGGAGCAACAGTCCATGTTTTATTGCCTATAATTTGTCCTTGCCACATGAGACGTGAAATGTAATCCAACTAGAAAAAAGAAAACAATATCTACAATTAGTGAAAGTATAATTAAAAATAATTGTGTGTACTATTATCATTATACATACATGCATAACAGCACCTTCTTCATATCCTAAAAACACATAATTGGAATAAGGGACCTCTGCATCTTCTGGCAAAAAATGAGGTAGATCGTAGTACTGTTTCATGATATCTAAAACCTGAAAATCACAATTCTTCCAACCAACATACCAAGGATCTTTTCCATTAAGTTGCATAGCTCTTTCTTCACTCATTGCAAAAACATCACGTAAATTAGTGAGATTACTTTTGAAATGTAAGAATTGACATTCATCTACTGAATCATAAGCACCATCAATATTCTCATATAAATCTTTGAAGAATTTCCAGCTAAATACCTTAGAAGCTGGCCAATGACTTGCAGCATGCTTTATCACCATAGGCCTAGAAGAGTAGGCGTATTGTTTAAATTCTTCTCTTGTTAAATTTGGCAAGATCAATGCTGAAGTAACATCCCGACAATAATCACAATTTGATAATGGCCTTGTGAATTCCCATATGAAATAATTATTTGATATTAAGCATCTTGTTCCATGAATGCTTTTAATCATATCAATATATAAATATTTAAAAAGTATGCTACAAAATATAGGTGTAAATAAGGCAACGAAAACCTTTTTGGAACACATATAATGTGAAACAAGGTTTCTCTTATTTTTTCTATTATTTTTTACATTGACAGACTTAAGGTCTGCCAATGATGCACCTTGTTCCAGAAAGCTCTCAGTTAGAGCTAGAAATGCTTCTTTTATGTCTTCTAAAATCTTATCTCTTTCTTCCATTACTAATAGTACTTGCAAATGTTCAGGATTATTTGTCTGTTAATATTGGTTTAAGTAACCATTGATGCAAATGTCTTTTCATACCTATCATTGATTTTCATATTTTGTTGCTGATATTTGTTCACTTATACTCTGATTATTCATACTTTAATTCAGTGACAACATTAATCCTGTCATCAGCGATAAATATACAATATAATTCATCATTTTTATCCGCATTTCTTAAAAAATTATTTCTTTCTTTTGGCACTTTGCTTAATTCAACGATCACACTTCATTTTCTGCAGGTGCAAGTTTTTAGTAGTAGAATAAACATTGTTCGATCATTTTCGAAAAACCATTATTACATGTTGGTTAGAAACATATTCGTGTCAGTAATAATGATCCTCTACGTATACTCTGCTTCATTATTTACACAAAGTCTAAAAACTGAATGCGACAATATGACGTGAATACAAACGGCATCGATGATATCGTAGAAATAGATTTCCACGAAGTATATAACTGTATATACCTGTTGTATTATCTTCACAACTTCACACAAACACGCACACCAACGTTGTGTTAAGCCTTGAACTACTTATATTTCACCGAAATGTGAAGGTTTATATACATACATCGATTGCGGAACAGATACAATCGTTTTCTGATTACTGTAAAATTCCCTTAACGATTCTTACGTCTTCTTCCTTGGACTAAAAGAAACTTTGCAAACTTGATTGCTCAGCCTCGAGTAATTTAAAACCTTAATAAGAAGTTTCCTGTTCACGTATCGAATAGATACAGGCGTTCTGTAGTTATGCGGGCAAGAAGTTCGGTACTTAGAAACATTATTACTACTTATATTACACTTGAGCAAATTGAAAAGTTTATTTATATTATGAATAATTTAAATAATTATGTTTCACGCATTTTTTCATTAAATTAAAGAAAAATTTATTTAACACGTACCAGTATAGAGTCTGCAAATTAATGAGACAAAAAAACAACACACGAAAGAAGACTTAAAATCGTTTATTTTTATCAAATCACACAACATGATGTACAAGTCTTATTTTAAACGGACATTGAGATAAATTTTTTTTGAGTGTGCAGTTATGAATCCCATGTAGATATTACGGTGGATATAATGTTTGATTTGTCGTTTTCCGTGATATTTTGTTTTCAGTTGTACACGTTACACAGTATAAAACCTAATTTACAATAGTTATAATACTAACGTGCGGTATAATTAACTTACGCTCGTCGAGATATACAGTCCACTTGAATTCCAATGCACGGTGAAATTTCAAGACGGTACATTTTCTTTCTCGGACAATTTTTTTTCTTTTTTTTACATGTAGGCCAATGTCGAAACGCGTGCAATAAAGTATTCAATTCGACAAGTTCGTTGTTTCATAATCGAACATTATATCACTGTACTAAATTGCATTCTTTTTGTTTTTCATTCACGTAAAATGCAGACTATATTTCTTGATAATAACTTAGCTTACTGCAATTTGAATCAAGTTCGTAATTCGTATCCCTTTTCTCTTTTATTTCGTCTTTTTATTTCTTTCTCATTTAGAATGAATCAAAATTTGTTAAAAAGCTGTTAACATTTATAAAAAATTGTTTCTCTATTAAACATAAATCGTAATTCTTGAATTAAAATTTGGAACGATTTTGTTGAGAATATCTAAACTATTATAATTTATTATTTAATTTAATAGTAAGTTAAACGTGGTAAAAAGTTGAATTATTTCTCGACGAACTTCAAAAGATTGTAAATGCAACATCATAACTTCTTTCTTCACTTCCTCCTATAAATGTAATTTTACAAGAATTTCACTTTTATTTTAAAGACTTAAGCGTTCCTATTTAAATAAACAGAAAAGACAAAATACTTTAATCTGTTCACTTAAATGACAATTTCTTTTTTCTAAAATAATAAAATACATTTTTTAACGTAAATGTATTTTCTTTTAAGAGTTAGAAACGTATTATATATTTACAAATCTTATGTACGATATAATTCAGAAAAATTAATATTACAATTACAGTATTATTTTCAATCAATATTAAAAAATTTCAATAATCCAGGAATCACAATATTATATAAACATACTTTTGATAAGAAAGTACGATTTTAAAATCAATGCGTCAGCTTGAATATACGTCAATTTTATAAAACAACTGTCATCATTTTCAACAAAATTAAAAGTTATCTAAAAAATTTCCTTAACAAAATACTTTTATTAGAACGTATCAGTTATTATCCAACGCAAAATAAGTTATTACTTACTGTTAAAAATGTGTGACTAGTACAGTCGTGTTTGTATCAATGCTTACACCTGATTACGCTTTGCTTTTGAAGAGACAGAAATTTTCATCATCGTCTGGTCAGAAGTAGCACCACTTGCCGAGGATAGCATCTTTTATAGCCGATATGTATTGTGCAGGAACCCAATATATCCAATATCTCGAAGCTTCTGTTGTGCCTAATTGTATAGCCTGGAATTTTCAAGAATATTTCTATAATTTGCAAATTTCTATATTAATAATAATGTTCTATATTATAAGCACAAACCATAATATGATATTCTGGATGATCATGTATTGGTTCACTGTGTACTCCTTTTATGGAAGTCATAGGTATTTTGTCTGTTCTTTCTTTTGTACCAATCCAAAGTTGATCTTGTTCTAATTTAAATGTTAATCTAACTTTACCACCAGATTTATTTAACATGCCAGCCAATGGAAATTCTGGTAGGGGTTCCTACATTTAATTCAAAACAGATTAGTACATTGCAATAATGAAACTATTACATAATTTATTAACAAATATTATACCAATTAATTTAAACAAACCATACCTTACTATCTAATATACCAGGCATGACATCTTCTGGAATACCTTTATCTAATACTTTCCTGTGCATCTTCTGCTGAGATAAAGGTTCTTTATTCGCAGTAGAAGCAGCTTCATCTGATAGGTCTTGCTTTGTTGGAATTGAAATGGCTAATACATCATCTAGTTTTGATCCTACTACCATGACTTTGGCACCTTAAATAGATTACACCTTAAAAAATCAGTTCAAAGAACACTTTATTATAAAAATTACCTTTCACAACTCCCAAACTTCTCAGTGTTTGTTCATCTTTGGCTAATCCTTTGATCATAACTTTTTGCATAGCTTGTGGCACAGATATAATATTTTGAAGATGGGCCTTTAATTCTGCCACTGTGCCATCAAGTGGAAAATTTACATTAATCCTTTGTTTATTGTAAATCACTTTAAAGTCTATATTCTCTCGGGGTGGATCTTGCGAGGTAGTTGCAATAGTACTATCTCCCGTTTGTATATCTTGAATCTCATGTTTTGATGTTGAGTCCTTTATTTCTACTGATGAATTTTCATTAGAATTTGCATTTGTCTTTGATACTAATTCAGCACAAGGGGTTGAGTTACAAGAGTTGTCGTTGCTTTCACTTTTAGCAGCATCTGAAAAATACACAAAATTTAATATATTTTAAATGTAACTATTTATACAGCTATTTTAAATATAATAAAATTTCACATAAACAAATGTACTGTTTATTTCATAAGATTGGGATAAAAATTTAGTAGATAAAAAAATACATAAAAATTCAATAGTCCAGTGAAATTACAAAGCAAAAATTTCACAAATAATAAGGTTATGTTTAAAATAATACATATTTACAATATAATAGGGAAAAGTGTAAATTGTTTTCAAAAATTATGTGTCAAATATTGTACGATTATCAAAATAATTTTAAAACAGATGTATACAAATTTTTAGCCAAAATAACGATTGTTTTCACAAAATTAAATCAACGTATACAACTGCTGCCTGTAATATTTCATGGTATGATTTTTTCGGGAATCGGATATTAATTATGCTCAAAATAACTAGAAACAAATACAATAAATGATGACAAAAAGTATTTATTAGTTGAAAATTATGAATAAAAAGCACGAAAATTTGTCAAGTTAGTACGTACCGACGTACTCCATGATGAACTGTATTTCGTTGACCAATCAAAAATACCGTAGGATGCGTTGCAGTTCCTGCTATTCGTATTTGCAGCGATCTTTGGAATGACTTTCAAATTTTCAAATATCTTCTAGAAATATAAATGAAAGTAAATTTTTTTTATCGAAACTTAGATGGACAGAAAGAGTTAATCATTCAAGCATTCTGTTATGATATTTTGATGTTTTTAATTTAACAGCAATTGGTACGATGTGTTATGGATTGGCAGATATAGTATACAACATCATTGTTATCCTATTGCAATAAAAGAAAAAATTTTATATAAATACAAATAATTACATATA